ATGTGCAACACTTGTCCGTATTGTAGATCATTAATAACAGGGCAGGTGTTTTTGGTGCCCTGTAGAATGGATACATGCCCTACAGAATGAATACAAAACCTCCTGATACCCTGTGGAGTGAATACAAAACTTCCTGATACCCTGTAGAATGAATACAAAACTTCCTGTGGAATGAATACAAAACCTCCTGATACCCTGTAGAATGAATAAAAAACCTCCTGATACCCTGTGGAGTGAATACAAAACTTCCTGATACCCTGTAGAATGAATACAAAACCTCCTGATACCCTGTAGAATGAATATAAAACTTCCTGATACCCTGTAGAATGAATACAAAACCTCCTGATACCCTGTAGAATGAATAAAAAACCTCCTGATACCCTGTGGAGTGAATACAAAACTTCCTGATACCCTGTAGAATGAATATAAAACTTCCTGATACCCTGTAGAATGAATATAAAACTTCCTGATACCCTGTAGAATGAATATAAAACCTCCTGATACCCTGTGTAATAAATGCAAAATTTTCTGATACCATGTAGAATGGATATAAAATTTTCTGATGTCCAATAGAATGGGAAACAAAAGTATTTCTGATCTGCAAAATGGTGTTTTTTTCGGCTGTCCAGTAGAAAACAAAAAAAAAAAGGTGTTTCGTGTTGATTTGTAAAACGCAATGTAGTGATTTTTGCTGACCTGTAAACTGAGAGAAAAGCGTTTTTAAGATTGTGTTTTTGTTGCAGGACTGCAATACTGTCAAGAAAATCCATCGTTTTTCTTATAATAATAATGATGATGATAATAATAATAATTAATAATAATTATTATTATTATTATTATTATTATTAAAAGGGTTATTTATCGTCCTGGGAATGGGAGATAGATGTGATCAAAGGAAGAGCGAGGAAGCTTCAATTCCTTGGATCAAAAGCTCTTTACCAACGTCAAGTCAGCCCCCCTTTGAAAGATCCCTAACCATTTATTACTATTACTACTACTCTCACTACTACTGCTACTTCTACTATTACTACTACTGCTTCTAATGTTGCTACTACTGCTGATGTTCTAATATTAATGCTGTTACTTACTTCTACTACTATTACTACTACTACTACTACTACTTCCATTACTACTACCACAATTACATACGCAAGAAAGCGCTCAACCCAAGTGGTCCCTAACAACCCATTAAATATTCAACTTAAAAAAAAAAATACGAGGCTAGCATGAGCTGAGCTTCCTGCTAATCCACACATGTATCGCACTCATTACACGCAGGATTATATTCTATTTACCCTGGCTCTGTTAATAATCCTGGCTGGCGTGCGATAATCTTTTTCAATGGGTATACACCATCACACCGTCCTACCCAAAATTCGCTAGGCCGGACAGAAAATTCTCTCATTCCCTGCGGGGTAATAGAATGTTAGCTATTCTATGCATAGAATAGATAAAGGCCACATATGTATATTAAGAAACTGGAACCGAAGGGATACTGGGATTTTTTTTTTCTTCGCGACAAGCGTTTCGACGAATGGGAAATATTTGAGCGAGGAGGCTGTATATACTTCAGAAAATTGAAAATATTTAGAAAAAATAGTATGCTACATGAACAGTGTAACTTGTTCATGTAGCATACAGTTTTTTAGCTACATGAACAGTGTAACTGTTCATGTAGCTAAAAAAAACTGTTTAGGAAGATAATTAGTTCGCGCCTGTCACGCTAACTGCATTTTGTCAGTTTGATAAATCACCGTCCAGAGGTCTTGTAGTTACAAACTTGCTTAGGAAGAAAAATAGTAGGCATTAGTTGGTTGTAAGTAACTAACACTTGTATCTACAATTTTGGTTACGAAAGTAATTAGGCATTTATCAATTAGGTTGAATAACATAATCCAAACCTTAATTTTTAAAGGGGTGGACCGGTAAGCCAGCGGACGGCCTCGGTCAGAAGACTAAAATCTCCAGTAGCGGGTCATCATATGAATAAGACCCGCGTCAGTAAACACTTGCCCAATTTCCTATCTAATCTTAATTAGGCATTTGTCAATTAGGTTGAATAACATAATCTAAACCTTAATTTTTAAAGGGGTGGACCGGTAAGCCAGCGGACGGCCTCGGTCAGAAAACTAAAATCTCCAGTAGCGGGTCATCATATGAATAAGACCCGCGTCAGTAAATACTTGCCCAATTTCCTATCTAATCTTACCTAACCTAACCTATCTTTAAGTGTTAGATTTAATTAGGTAGTGTTTAGTGTATACTAGGTTAGGTTTTACTGGGTTAGATTAGCTTACGATGTAGTGTGTTACGTTAAATTGTTTATGTACTAAGTTAGATTATGCTAGGGTATACTGGTCTAGCTAAGATAGATTTCTCTATGTTAGGTCACACGAGGCTGGGTTATGCAAATATTGTTTTAGGGTCAGTCTGATATGGAAGGAAGACCGTTGTCATCCCGTGATTTTTCTTCTGTGACTTTTTTCCAGTGACTTTTCTCCGGTAATTTTTTTTATAAGACGACTATTTTGTTTCGATGACTTTTGGCGACTTATCTCTCGTGCCTCTTCTTCCGCTACTTTTCGCCTGTGACTTCTCAAGTGACTTTTCTCCCGTGCCTTTTCTTCCGCTACTTTTCTCCCGTGATTATTATCCTGTGCCTTTTTTTCTCTCTATTTTTCCCCTCTCCGTGGACTTGCATAACGTTGCCGGTGCCTCTGGTAAATGCCAGAGGCGCCTGAAACATAATATACACCAAACATTTTCTCAACCCTTGGTGTATATTTACCTTTTGTGTATGTTTTCACAGTCCTAACTTTTGTTTAACGCGCTTATTATGCAAAAAAAAAAAAGTTTCTTTCAAATAATGTTTATATAAATTCCTTTCTTAACGCGAAGTTACCCCAGAGACCGCAAACTTGAAATTAACTTTGGAAAGATTTTCACAATAGTTTTGAAAAATACACCGAGGCGTCATCAGAACTTAGGATCCCTTAGAAAGTTGGTAAACTAGGCTCGAAATGCAAAAATAGAGGATCTGCAGATGGTTTTGAAATCATGGCGGCCGATTTAGTAAATTTGTGAGGTTTAAAGCCTACCGAATTTACAAGGGTCGTTATAACTGCAGTTCACTGTGCAGAACATCCAAAGAATATTTAATTCATGAATTAGGGGTTAAACTCTTACAGTATATACAGAAAAAGATACAACTCCCGGCGTCTATACACCCAGATATACACTTCTCGGTATACTTACACCAAGATACATACCACTCGGTAATAGGTGGGCTGAAGAAATCATTCGCAGTAATGGTAGAATTACCAACAAAATGTTTGGTAAATGAACATAGATGCAAATAATGTAACGGCTTAACAAAGCTCCTCAAGAGCGAAACGTTACCACATTACAATGACACATTAGTTGCATCTGTGTCCATTTACGAAACCATTCGTGGCGAAATGTTCCCTAAATAAATATCCTAAAACTGCACAGGTATATCTACACCCAGATATACACCTGTCATGTTCAAAATATATCCCCTGAAGCAGCCAAAGATCCTAATACTGCACAGGTATATATACACCCAGATGTACACCTCTCATGTTCAAAATATATCCCTTGAAGCAGCCAATGATCCTAACACTACTCAGGTATATCTACACCTAGATATACACCTCTCACGCTCAGTATATATACCCCCCTGAAGCAGCCAAAGATCCTAACCCTGCACAGGTATATCTACACCCAGATGTACACCTCTCATGTTCAAAATATATCCCTTGAAGCAGCCAATGATCCTAACACTACTCAGGTATATCTACACCTAGATATACACCTCTCACGCTCAGTATATATACCCCCCTGAAGCAGCCAAAGATCCTAACCCTGCACAGGTATATCTACACCCAGATGTACACCTCTCATGTTCAAAATATATCCCCTGAAGCAGCAAAAGATCCTAACACTACTCAGGTATATCTACACCCAGATATACACCTCTCACGCTCAATATATACCCACTAAAGCAGCCAAAGAGTACATCAACTTTACGTTACCTAGTTAACATCACAAAGCAGAGTGCGTTATGAGTAGGGTGCAACATAATTTCCTCCGCACATAATTATGTAAATGCATTTAGACAAAACCCTCAGTAACAGCCTAGCCGAGCGTGCCTGGCAGCTTCCACCATTTAAAACATTACCCCAGAGTGAATAATTATATGTTAACATTTGGTTCATTTCCTCTTTATAAAACATCGAATGTTTAATTTCACGTTTAATTCCCACTGACTTCTACGTCTGTTATTATTACTGCTATTATTATTATTATTATTATTATTATTATTAATTATTATTATTATTATTATTTTATTATTATTATTATTATTATTATTATTATTATTATTATCCCCCCTTCCGTCCTTGAAGAGAATATTACCATTCAAAAAAAGCGATAAACCCGTATGATTTAGTGAGCTCATAGAGTCTACACTATTACTGAACTATATTCAATTATAATGGGGAGCGCTAAACGCGTATGGATTATGCAGCGCTTGTTTGGGGGGGAGGCTGGAATGCATTCAGGCTGAATTCAGGGAAACTGGAGCACAGATCCAATTCCCTAGATCAAGAGCCCCTCACCAGCATCAAGGAACCTTCCTTGAGGGGAACTATATTCAGAGAAGCGGTAAACCCGCAGGGGTTATACTAAGGGGCATTCACGTCTGATCTGATTAAGAGGATAGGTCCAATTCCTCGGATCAAAAGTCCTTCACCAACATCGAAGATATTTCTGACGGACAATGGGTTGGTTAACGGGGGTTTAAACCCTATCGACTACACCGTCATTCAGGTTCACGTAACCTTTCCACACCAGACAAAAAAATACATTAATCCCTAAAACAGTGATAGATACAAACCCTAAGGGGATATATATATACATCGAGAAAAATCCAAATCCCGTCCAGTAATAGGCAGAAAATACAAAAAAAAAAAACTTACCCCTTTAACACTGCTATAACCCAGGATAGGAATACTCAAATTATCCGTGTTTAGTAACTTCACACGCCTCGTATACACTCCTAACTCATCCTTAACGTTGGTTGTAGGGGATTCCATGGATTATTTCATGGAAAAACAGCAGAGTAACGGTGATGTAGCCGCCTCCTTCAGCCTCTCCTCCAGACTGATGGTCTCCTGATATTTACATTACTTCCCCGCGAGATTAATAGTCCTTAAAACAGCCTTATTTTATCTGTGATTTATATTATTTTTGATGTTTCAATTAAGGGAGTTTGATTACGATTCGCTGATGTTCATAGATTTTTTTTTTTAGATTGCTTTTTTGCTGATTTGTGAAGAATGATTCGACGTGGAACTCTAAACTGTGTTGGATGACGTTTTTCGAGCAGAAATATGCAAATTTTATCCATGAAAATTAAGTTATTGTCGGTATTTTTCTTCTTTTTATTATAATAATTAATTATTTCAAGTTACTTTTTATGTGCTGGAAATAATGAAAATTAAATACTAATTATGTATATTATATATATATATTATATATATATATATATATATATAATATATATATATATATATATATATATATATATATATATATACTCATTGTGGTATTTTTACATACCTCTTACAGAGGTGACAACACTTCACACAGAGGTGACAACACTTCACACAGAGGTGACAACACCTCACACAGAGGTGACAACACCTCACACAGAGGTCACACCTCACACAGAGGTGACAACACTTCACACAGAGGTGACAACACCTCACACAAAGGTGACAACCACTCACACAGAGGTGACAACACCTCACACAGAGGTCACACCTCACACAGAGGTGACAACACCTCACACAGAGGTCACACCTCACACAGAGGTGACAACACCTCACACAGAGGTCACATCATATTACAACCCAGGAATTCAAAGGCCTTTTATCCTGGGTGTAAAGGGAGCAAAATAAACACAGCAGAAAAACTTTTGACTTGTATTATCCTTTCACCAAATAAGAACAGAAGTATGTACACTATGTATTAGTGCACTCCACGGTAAGCGAGGTAGAATAGAAGCTACTAGATAGCAGACTGTGCTTCAACCAGCTCTAGAACGGAAATGACAAGCGCAGACAGGCGGGTGGTGCCCACAACACCTCTGCGATTGCCAGAACCATCTTCTCATTGACTGAACCTGGGTACTGATCGAACGACGGGGCCCCATCGTCCGACCCTAGTACTGGTTCGCTGGTTGGGGGAGATAGCCTTTCAGTGAGGGTGTGTACATGTCCCAAATGAAGGTTACGTACTCTTTGCATGCCACACAACACCTCACACAGAGGTGACAGCACCTCACACAGAAGTCACAATACCACACAGAGGTAACACCTCACACAGAGGTCACAACACCACACAGAGGTCACAACACCTCACACAGAGGTTACAACACCTCACACAGAAGTCACAACACCACACAGAGGTCACAACACCTCACACAGAGGTAACAACACCTCACACAGAAGTCACAACACCACACAGAGGTCACAACACCTCACACAAAGGTCACAACACCTCACATAAGCCAAAGTCACATTAAAACTTCATTGCATTTTGAATATTTTTGATTTACAACGATTTGGAGATAAAGAGGAAAGAGAAAGAAGTGAAGAAGAATAACAAGGGAGATAGAAATGAGAAAAGAGACAAGAAATGAACAAGAATAAGACAGAAGAAGCGAAGAACAAAGAAAAACAAAACAAAACAAATACACCCAGAAGCTGAAAAAACACAGAAGAAAAAAATAGATAAACGAAACAAGGCAACAATCAACAATCCGCCCAAAAGAAAATTAACCTCCTAAAAAATGTTTGCCAGAGTGAAACTCAGAGAAACAGGATCAGAGGAAGAAAACATGATAAGAAACATGGGAGGTAATGTTCTCCGACCAAGGCACAGAAACAAGTCAAAGAGGAATTTTTGTCAGAAGAAAAGTACTTAGTGTAATGTTGTAGCTGTTGGGGGATTTATATGCAGGTGAGATTAGTTATGTATTTTGTTTTGTTAGTGTATTGATTTTGATTAGTTTGTTATAGTTGTGTGTAATTTGAGTAGGGTATTGGAGGTAATACGGTTCAGGGGACTGGGGTCCCTGAGCATGGATTGTTGTTTCGTGAGCGGTTGTGGTTTAGCATTGGGGCTGTTGAGGGGGTGTTGGTGATGTTGTGTGTGTGTTAGTGTGTGTGTATTGTGTGTGTGTAGTGTGTGTGTTAGTGTGTGTGTTTGTGTGTGTGTAGTAGTGTGTGTGTGTGTGTGTTGTGTGTGTGTTTGATGAGTGTGAGTGTGTGTTGTGTGTGTGTGTTGTGTGTTCTGTTTGTTGCGGTGTCTACCCGGAAGTTTCTGGGAGGCGGGGGGCGCCTGACAGACTGGAGGAAGGGAGGAAGCCGACGGACGGAGGAAGGCCACGGAAGGAGGACGGTGAAGCGGATGGACGGCAGGAAGGGAGGAATCAGAAAAAAGAACACCAAAAACGAAGGAATAGGAAGGAAGGAACGCAATCGAGGAAGCGAAGGGAGGAGAAAGAAGAAGAAAGAAAGAAGAAAGAAGAAAGAAGGAAGGAAGGAAGGAAGGAAAGAAGGAGGGAAGGAAAGGCGGAAAGAAGGAAGGAAGGAAGGAAGGAAGGAGGAAGAAGAAGGAAAGAAAGAAGGAGGAAGAAAGGAAGGAAGGGAGGAACGAGGAAGGAGGAGGAGGAAGAAGGAGGAAGTAAGGAAAGAAGAAGAAGGAAGGAAGGAAGGAAGGAGCAAGAAGGCAGGAAGGAAGGCAGAGGAGGAGGAAGGAAGGAGGACGAGGAATGAAGGAAGGAAAGAGAAGGAAGGGAGAAGAAGCAGGAAAGGAAGGACGGAAGAGGAAGGAAGGAAGAAGGAAGACGGAAGGGAAGAGAAGGCGGAGGAAGGAGGAAAAGGAAAGGGAAGGAAGAAGGAAAGAGGAAGGAGGAAGGAAGAAGGAGAAGGAAAGAGGAAGGAGGAAGGAAGGAAAGAAGGAAGGAAGGAAGGGAGGAAGCAGGAAGGAGGAAAGGAGGAAGGAAGTAGGAAAGAAAGAAAGAGGAGGAAGGAAGGAAGGAAGGAAGGACAGAAGGAAGGAAGGAGGAAGGGAAGGAGAATGGAGGAAAGAAGGAGGAAGGAAGGAAAGAAGGAGGAAGGAATCAGGAAAGAGGAAGGAAGGAAGGAAGGAGGAGAGGAAGAAAGAAGAGGAAGGAAGGAGGAAAGAAGGAGGAAGGAGGCAGGAAAGAGGAGGGGAAGATGGAAGGAAGGAAGGAAGGAAGAAGGAGGAGGAAGGAAGGCAAGAAGGAAGGAGAGGCAGGAGGAAAGAAGGAAGGAAGGAAGGAAGGACGAGGAAGGAAGGAAGGAAGGAGGGGGGAAGGGAAGAGCAGGAAGGGAAGAAGGAGGAAGAAGAGGGGGGAAGGAAGGAAGGAAGAGGAGGAGAGGAAGAAGCGAAGGAAGGAAGGAGGAAGAAGGGACGGAAGGGGGAAGGACGAAGGAGAGAAGGAAGAAGAAGGGAAGGAAGGAGGAAGGCGGAAAAAGGAAGGAAGGAGGAGGGACAGGAGGACAGGAAGGCGGAAGGCCGGAGAAGGGAAGGCAAGAAGCAGGAGGAAGGAGGAAGGAGAACGAGAGAGGAAGGAAGGAAGGAAAGCAGCGAAGGAGGGCGGCCAGAGGAGGAGGGGCGAAGGAAGGAAGGAAGGAGGAGGAACAGGGGCGGCAGGAGGGCGGCAGGAAGGAGGGGAGGACTGCGGCAGGAAGGAAGGCCGGAGGACGGGAGGTGCAGGGGCGGGAGGGGCCGGAGGCCAGCAGGAGGCAGGATCCATCCTCCTTCCTTCCTTCGCTTCCTTCCACCTTCCTCCTTCCTTCCTTCCCTCCTTCCTTCCTTCCTCCTTCCTTTCTTCCTCCTCCTCCTCTTCCACCTCCCCCTTCCCCTCCTTCATAGCCTTCCTTCCTTCCCTCCTTCCTTCCACCTCCCATCCTTCCCCTCCTTCTTTCTTTTTCCTTCCTTCCCTCCTTCCTTCCTACCTTTCCTCCTTCCTTCCTTCCTCCTTCCTTCCTTCCTCCTTCCTTCCTTCCTTCCTTCCCTCCTCTTCCCTTCCTTCCTTCCTTCCTCTCCCTTCTCCCCCTTCCTTCCTTCCTTCCTCCATCCTCCTTCCTTCCTTCCTTCCTTCCTTCCTCCCTCCTTCCTTCCTTTTCCCTCCTTCCTTCCTCCTCCCCTTCCTTCCGCTCCTTCCTTCCCTCCTTCCTTCCTTCTTCCTTCCCCTTTCCTTCCTTTCCCTTCCTCCTTCCTTCCTTCCTTCCTTCCCTCCTTCCTTCCTTTCCCCCCTTCCTTCCTTCCCCTCCTTCCTGTCCTTCCCTCCTTCCTCCTTCCCTCCTTCCTCCTCTTCCTTTCCTTCTTCCTTCTTCCTTCCTTCCTATTCCTTCCCTCCTTCCTTCCTTCCTTCCCTCCTTCCCTTCCCTTCCCTCCTTCCTTCCTTTTCCTTCCTACATTTTCCTCCCTCTCCCTCCCTTCCTCCCTCCCCTCCTTCCTCCCTCCTTCCTTCCTTCTTCCTCTCTCCTACCCCTCTCCTCCTCTCCCTTTCCTCCCTCTTCCTACCTTTCCTTCCTTCCTTCTTCCTTCCTTCCTTCCTTCCTCCTTCCCATTCCTTCCTTTCACCCCCTTCCCCTTCCTCCCCCCTCTTCTTCTTCCCTCCTTCATCCTTCCTTCCTCACCTTCCTCTCCTTCCTTCCTTCTTCCTCTTGCTTCCCTCCTTCCTTCCTTCTCTCCTTCTTCCTTCCTTTTCCTCCTCCTTCCCTCCTTTCCTTCCTTCCTTACCTCCTTCCTCCTTTCCTTTCCCTCCTTCCTTCCTTCTTTCCTTCCCTCCTTCCTTCCTTCCTTCCTTCCCTCCTTCCTGCCCTCCTTCCTTCCCTCCTTCCTTCCTTCACCTACAGGATGGGTCCACCCACAACCTGCTCTACTCTCTGGGGTACCCCCATAAACTAGGTTATAGCCTCCTGCCAGGAATAAACTCGTTTATCCCTCAGTAACCATCCCCAAATGCCGTTCAACGTTCAACGAGGCACCGAGAATAATTCTCAGCGCTCAATGAAATAATTGAATATCTCCCAACGTTCAACG